AGGAACTCAACACTTAAAGGCTTAGAACTTGAAGATACCACTTCTCTGAAAGATGCTCAACTTACGAAGTTCATGCGAAATTATGGGCATGAAACAACTCGACTCGATGGTCTACATAACTATATGGAACTCATGTATACGACTCTTCTTATTCTCTAACTTACTTCCTCAAAACTTAGTTCAAATCGATAGTTGATCTCAAAGGATTCACAATTGAACTCAAAGACTTTCTTGAACTCTACTCTTAACTCTCTCTTGAGTGTGAATTATGAATTCAAGAGTTATAGTTCATGATAAGAAAGATCTCATGATGACAAGGTAGACTTATGAATACATTATTCTCACTCTCATACTCACTTGCTCGAGTCTTGAAACAAGTTATTAGAATTTGTAGAAGACTCCTCAAAAAGACAAAAAGGGATTTTCTGAAAAATGTTCGAAAGAACTCTCAAGACTTGACTCTCAACTCTACCTTGAATGTGATTTGTGATATTAAAGGTCTCACGATGTTTAGGAATGATTTTAGATAGCTAAACATGAGAAAAGACTGAAAATCAATATTTGAGAGTGGGTCTGCGACGCGGAGAGGCTTTTAAAATTTGGTTTCGAAAATGTCTTTTGAGGCAGAACGCTCCGTGACAACTCCGCGACGTGAAATAGAAATTCCCAAATCTGGGAACCTGCTCCGCGACGCGCCCCTAGTGCCAAATTTCGTCCGGACGAAATTTCTTCTTCGTTTTCTAACCCCAATTCGCCTAAATTCGATTCTTTTTCTCAATCTCTCTTTAGATTTAGATACCCAACACATGTACACTAGAATATAACTCTAACCCCTCTATAAATCGACACATTAACCTCAAGAACTCCTCAATCTCAGCCCAATTCAAGAACAAAAGCAAATTCATGAATACATAACAAGAACATCAAAACTTCAACTTTTAGAACGAATTTAAAGCTGAAATTAACATGATTGGCGTGTGGGTGAACAAACCCAACACTGTGGAAGCTTACATACCTTAAAGAACCATCTTCTTGAAGGAAAAATCTTGAAAGATGAACCCTAGTCTTAGCGTTTCTTGAATTTCTTGAGCGTAGAATCTTTGGAGTGAAGGAGAGGGTTTTGATTTGTGAAAACTGATTTTCTATTCGTTTAGGGCAATTTAGATGACCTCCTAAGGATTTTTTAGGACTAAAATACCCTTAAAGAAATAAATAAAATGAGCTGGGAGTCGGAATGATCTATCACCAGGCAGTGAGGTCTGTTTTGGCTCCGCGTCGCGGAGCTGCTGCCAGGTTTGCGCGACGTTAGTAAATCCGTCATAACTTTTTACTCAGAGCTCGGAATTGAGCAAACTTGGTGGCGTTGGAAATAGGACTCGAAGGGCTTTAATTTTATACCTTGTAGCTCACCTAACTCATCATGTAGTAGGAGTTATGGTCGTTTAAAGTTGACCCAAAACTTAAGAAAAACTTAGGAATGACTTGAATGAACTCTCTTTAGTTCTTCTTGGAACTCAAGGTGCTACATCTAGTGACCTTAATACTCAAGAAATTTTAAATTCCTTGCAAAAATCTCACTCACTACGAAGAACGGTTCGAGTCTTAGCTCAAAATTTTTCTGGTGTGTTACAATCAAAATCTAACAAAGGAGTTAAAGAAAACGTGAAAAAAATTACACGCCCAAAAAAATAGTCATGTCAATTATTGTTTTTGCTTAATATGCGTGTCAATTCCAAATATGACAAGTAAAAATAAATCGATAGAGTATTTAGCAACAACTGCAATAATTTAGACCATGCCCAAGTAATTAAAAACGTTCAAATATATTCTTAGATAATTTAAAAAGGTCCAAGTATACCCCTACGTCTATGTTGGTGTCTGAACATAGTTATTAAATTAATAGTTAAGAACACAATTTAACTATTTTTTTTTTCAAGATTCACATTCCAACTATGAACTTTTTGTTTTTCTTATCTGAACTATCACCATCTATGTACTAAAATATATATCAACATTGATAATTATCAGTTATTTCTTTTTCTTATCTTAATTATCACCATCTATATTAAAACACACATCAATACTAACTTTAAGTTACTTCTTTTTAATTTTATTATAATTGAAAATTCCTTCATAACTAAGCAATGTGATAACCTTACCAATGCCATTCAACACATAGTACTTGACTTGTTATTCATTTTTCTGCAACAGATTCCCCAAATTAAGGAAAGAAAAATATTAATGAAATCTGTTATGAACGGATCAGGACCAATATGGGCAAAGCAGCCCAACACCAAATTAAGAGATTATGTTTATGTAACATCCCGAAAGTTTTTTGAGCTAAGATTCGAACCCTTCTTCGTTGTAAGATTTTATCGAGGAATTTAAAATTTCTTAAGTGTTAAGGTCAAGTCACTAGATATAACACCTTGAGTTTTAAAAAGATTTGAAATATATCCGAATTTTGACCGAAATTGCTATAACAATCAACTAAATACATTTTTGTTGATTTCATTAATGACAATATTTACTCTTTTTCTATATATGAAATTAGTAAATATGATAAATCAAACTTTCAACTAAATACATTTTTGTTGATTTCATTAATGACAATATTTACTCTTTTTCTATATATGAAATTAGTAAATATGATAAATCAAACTTTCAACTAAATACATTTTTGTTGATTTCATTAACGATATTTTTGACTCTTTTTCTATAGATGAAATTAGTAAATATGATATATTTTTTAAAATTTATTTGTATCACATAAAATATTTTGGTTTATTACATTTAATGGATTTATTTATGGTAGTTTTGGTATGTGCATACTGCCGAGCTATAAATACTCTCCCAACTGTATATATTTGTTCTCTATTCTCACGGCGCATCTCCACCCATAAAAAGCCTCCGCTTCATTCCTCCTCCGATAATCGTCGTAACTCCACCGTTCAACCACCACCTGACTACAAAAAAGTTTTGTCACTCAACGAATTGTGGGCTAACAGATCTGTTGAATTCAGAAACTAAAGCAAAGGTGTGTTTGATTTTGTTGATATCTCATCTCATTTGCTTTTCAATTTTCTGTGTTGGTGGAATTAGTATGGCTTTTTCTGAAGAATCATTAAGAGAGATTCTACTGAGTTTACCTGTGAAATCGTTGTTAAGATTCAAATGTGTGTGCAAAAAATGGGGCAATCTTATCAATAACCCTAGCTTCACTATAGACCACTGTAAGAAGAAGAAGCCTCCGCAACACTTGATTTATGATTATGGTGCAACCGATGATGCTCCGACTGTCACTTTGGTTTCCGATAAGGGTATAGATGAACAAAAAAATTTTCAAAGATTTGGAGATAATATTACCAACTTGTTAGGTTCTATTGATGGTGTGTTTTTCATAGAAAGACAAATTGATAATGCCATTTTGTGTACATTATGGAATCCAGCTAACAGAGAGGTGAGACACCTCCCTGCCGCAACAATTGATTTTATACCTTATAATAAACACTATCGTCATTTAGTGTTCGGATTAGAGCCTATGACTAAGGATTATAAAGTGCTTTACTATGATCCTTTGAAAGAATATGCAGCGGTCTACTCAGGTTGTAGGGATTCATGGAGAATATTCAAACATAACCTAGACGTAGACGTAGATGAAAATAATATATTTGAAATAAACAGTTTAAAAACTACTGATTATCTGAATGGATATTACTATTGGCTGGTAAGGGAGAATAATAAATGTAGAATTGTTTCATTTGACTTTGGGAATGAGGTGTTTGTAGATATGGAAGGGCCACCAGCTGGTCACGAGGATTATCATTGGTTGGCAAGTCTGATGTTGCTTGGTGACTCCCTTGGCATCTTGAACTTTGTCGACGGGTTTGTTCATGATGTATGGATAATGATACAACCAGGCGTTTGGAACAAACTTGTGACCATTCATCTCACTACGCGTATTAAGTCATATTATGACAACTCTATCATTTTGGTAACTAGAAGTTCCCGACTGGTCTCATATAATGTTAGGACAAACAAGACAAGGCTTTTTGAATTTCGTCATCATGGCCTGCATTCTAATCGAGATTTTGGTGGTTGTGAGGTTTACTATTATAAAGAGAGCTTAGTAACAATTAAACGACAAGGGAATAGTGAGCTCCATCTCAATCGTTGTATGACAAGGGCCACATATTAAATTTCAATAAGAGCTTAGAGCATATTGGATAACATTTACAGGTTTTTTAAAATTTATTTATGGTTCATTCTAGCTTGTAACCTATTTAATTAGGTGCAATATGAGAGTATTTTTGTTTGTATACTCTATAATTAAGTTGTTGGTGATTGTGAGCATTTTAATATTATTATTTTTTATTAAAGTGGCTCATCCTAAGTATCTTTTAATGAATGTTGCATTGTGCTGCATCTGTTATTGACATTGTTAGATATAAAATGTTCCTTATAGCTCTTGCATTGTTAATGTTAAGATAGTCGTCGAGGCAGCTGAAAAGAGAAGTAAAAGGAAAATTCTAGCCACTTTTAATATTAACTTGTTATCTCATTCATCTACAGTAACTTGTCTAATCGACATCTTACTTCTTTATTATTTTTAGGCAATTAGCCTTAGTATCATACTCTATATAGCATGCATTCAAGTTTACATATCTCTTTTATAACTCAAATGGTTTGGATTTCTTTTAGCATTGATTTGTGGCTTGCAGAGGAGCATCATAATAGCACATATAAAATACGTCTAAAGAGCTTACCAAAGAAAAATAAAGTTAAATCCTTTGTAGCTGAAAGGTGCACTGCTGCACAAGAACCAATTTCAGTTTGGATTGATTGAAGAAGAGACTCTAGCTACAACAATAAAGAAAGAAGGATGGACGTTGTATTCTTTTGCAAACACAAAGGGAACAATGTCCATCCTACAAGTTATAAATCACAATATTATTCATTTGACATCATATATTTGTCATGGCATTAATTTTAAGCTAAAATTACATATACTTGAATATATGACAAGATTTGGATCTCTTTTTGAGACCCCATTCTATTGGGGTACTATTTAAGAAAGTTACAGGAACTCTAAAAAAAATAAATAAATCTTTTCAGATCTCACCAATGTATTCCTACAAGTGGGTTCTGGGAAAGAGTCGTGTATACGCATAACTTACCCCCTAGTGATGGCCAACACACTCCTTAACACTTAAATCCATACCTACTGATATAAAGCACGAAAAAATTTGAGTGAAACAATTTATCAAACATCTAACAAAATGCATATCCACAAATGTTCAAAGATAGAAGACATGAAAAAACTGAAAAACTACAAAAATCTGAAGCCATCAAAAGTGATGATAAGTTTAAAAGGGAGAAAACACCTCAAAAGTGTTGTCGTTAAGCCTATTATGTATCCACCTCTTTAATTTGTAGTTGTCTCCAGTGTAATAGTTTGCTCCAGTGGCCTCCCACACTCGATGAACCCTAATTATACTTCACTTACAGACACAAATTGAAGGAAATTGAGAATTGAAAATAACTAGGACAAGGATATGGGGAGACCTAATTTGGTTCTGATGAAGAGCCAATAGTTTAATTTTCTCCTAAAAGGATTTGCACTTGAAATTACTAATCTTTTACCAACAAAAGTCGTAATACGTGACTTCAGAATATAAATTAGTGGCATTTAATTTAATTAATTGTCACTAAAAGTCTATTCATTACTCCTCATTTCTCTTTCTCATGTTTATATCTTTATTTTATTAATTAATTTAGAAAAACTATAATTAGCCATTTATGAATAATATTATATATATTTGTCCCGTATGTTGCGAAAAGAGAAGAAAAAAAAAAGAGAAGGAAAAGTATAGCATATTAACTCGTTACACCATTCATTTAGAATAAATTGTTGGGCAAATTACAGAAATCACATACTTTTAAGGCAATTTACAATATATCCCTTAAAAGTTTATAATTACAGAAATCCTTCAAACGGATACAATAATATAAGCGCTGATACATTAATCTGATGCGCGAGATACACTAATCTGATGCGCGAAAATGAGGGATTTTGGAAATTTGTAAAACTTATAGGAGATAATGGTAATAAGTAATCTAAAATGTGGGATTTCTGTAATTTTTCCTAAATTGTTTGACAAATCATTATTTTACCTTTAAATTAAATGGTATTATATATGACGTTCAAGTTGTGATATAATTGTCACAACCCAAAAATGGATGTAATGGCACTCGCCGTATCCCACCAAGACAAGTCAGCCTAAAAACCCAATCATTTCGATAAAGTGCGGAAATAAAACAAAAGTCCAATAACAATTACTATTACGAAAACAAGTCAACTTAATTCAAGTAAAACAAAATCATAAACAGGAGTAAGAAGGTTCGCTGAGATGACAAACAACTACCTCTCAAAATCTCCACAGAAAGCCTCAGAAACGAAGAGAATGGAAGGTATCACGAAGATCCAGGCTCGTAACCTATAAAAGATTGTAGAAGCAAGGGGTGAGTACCAAACCACACGGTACTCAACAAGCAAACCTCTAAACACAAGCTAAGGGAACAAAATATGGGTACTCCTTACACCCCATCCGAACCTCCATAACTACAACCTGCATAAAACCAGTCCAACATAACATCTTCACAGTTTACAAAGTACACAGCTCAACAACAACACTCTAACAGATTACATATTCTCAATAACAACTCAATATTAATCAATCAAAATTTTCACAGAAAGACATTCACAGATCAGTAACACACAAGATCAAGCTCATCAATGATAAAAATGTGCAATGCTATGAAATGCAATGTCAAGTATAGTGATGCATGTCTGACCTAATGATACACACCCGCTGTCTCTCAGTCTGGGACCCATGGGGAACATATCTATCCATGCATCCATCGCGGCGCGCGATACGACCCTCGATAATAGTAAACATCGCGGTGCGCGATATGACCCTCGAAATAGTACATCCTCTTATCACATAACACTTATCACAACCATGTCTCAAAACCAATGCAAATGACATGTTCACACAAATAATGAGAAGATGACCATTTTAATATCAATGCACAATTCACAACAATACAATCATGACACAACATCAACAATTAAACAATAAGCCTTTTTATTACCCTTTTTCCATCATTAGAATTATTCAACATGGACAAGTCAACCCATCACCAATTCCCATTACACCCAAACATATTCCACATGGAAATACACGAATTCCATACACTTAACAAGGGTTTAGAAATTCACTTGCCTAAAATAATCGAACAATCACTCCGAGACTTGAGCCTTCCCTTTTCGTTGAGCTTCCAAATCAATGCAATCTATTCAAGTTCATATTCACAATAAGATTTCGAAACTAACAACGCCTATATTACTATAGGTTTAGCCTTGACCTAAAAATTCGCTAGACTTTATAATCAAGTTCGTAACTCTTGATGCCAATTAACATTTCACCATCATACATATTTTTTTTCTTCTTTTTGACACCCTTTATTCCAACCAATGATTGGCTCACCATTACTTATTCAATTAACTCCCAATACTTGCCTTTAAATTTCCAGAACAAACTCACGGTACAAACATACAGCAATATACCTTATTCTCTCATCCAATATTTCTATCCAATAATTTTATTTTATTATCATTCATTGCCTTCTCTAATGCCAGCTACTAATTTGTCTCAACTAGCCTCCAAATAACTTCCAACGATGAGACAATTTGCAGGATTCAAGAATTATACCAATTTCCCATCCTAATCTACAATCTCCATTCATATATACTATCCTTAACTATTACTCACTGTGTCCTCCCCTATGCCATAATTATCCACAACACTTATCCCCAAAATCCTTAAGCTAATGTTCCAATCAAAGGATAAAATACTAATTTGTTAAAGTACTAATCCGGAGAACAATTTCAATAGTAGCTAGATAAATAATAGTATAACAAATCCTTTTGTAGTAATAATTATCACCTTTAAAGCCACCAAACCCACCAACACATGCGGCAGCCACATATGGCTTCAAGATTCTAAAAATTTAAAACCTCATCTTCACTTCATTAATATAATAATCTTTATTATTGAATTTCTATCCGATTTTTAAGAAATTACTACATAAATAGACCAACACGTATACAAAGATGAGAATTCTAATTAAACCTTACCTGAACAATCTTTGTTTACTACTTTCTTCCTCTCCGTTTTTAGTTTTGATAGTGGGACGCCGCATGAACTCGTGCAAAGAATGAAAAGGAAAAGAAATTTATTTTATTAAATCCTATTTTACTCTAATTTATTTTATTATTTTTACGAAATTTCCAAAAGTGATGTTTCAGATCATACAATAATTTATAAAAAACTTTACTTATAATAACAACCCATCAAATCTTTTATATTATACCAACTTTAATAGTAACATTGTATCAAGCTAAGTATTGTTAACATTCAAGAAATTGTGTATATTTGATATGCATACACTAATGTGTTACATTTAATACTGAACGGAAGAATTGTTCAAATACATCCAACAATTAACAAGAAGGAAAATTACAATGATCAATTTTTCAATTCATTTTCAACAAGAAAAATCCAAATCTTTCTTCTCAAACACACAAGGGAGCTACCATCTACTATGATCCAGAGAATATATAATTAATACTAATAATATTGTTTTAAAAGGAACATAGACGGTTAGGTTCTATTGATGGTGTGTTTTTCATAGAAAGACAAATTGATAATGCCATTTTGTGTACATTATGGAATCCAGCTAACAGAGAGGTGAGACACCTTCTTACCACAACAATTGGGTTTGAATCAGTAATACATTCAATCGTTATATTGGATTCAGATTAGATCCCATAATTAATTAAGGATTATAAAGTGGTTTACTATAATCAAATGGAAGAATATGCAGAGGTCTACTCATGTTCTAGGGATTTATAGAAAATATTCTAACATAACCTAGATGAAGCAGATTGTCGAGAAAGCGTAATAAACACTACTAATTATTTGAATGAATCTTATTACTGGCTGTTATCGGAAACTCCAAAATGCAGAATTCTTTCATTAAACTTTAGGGATGAGGCGTTTGTAAAGCCACCAGATGGTCACCACGTTAATAGTTTGAGACTGAATCTGATCTCACTTGATGACTCCATTGCCA